AACCGGCCCCCCGGCCTTTGGCACTCGCTCCCCCTGCGCTCCACAGTGCAGGCGGCTCCAGGCCCGTCTGTCTAAAGCTCCCAGCTGGTCATGTTGGTGTCCTGCTTTGAAACAGAGCCTCTGTGCTCCCGCTCAGGCTCCCTGCCTCTGTGCACGCTCTTCTTTTTGCCTCAGCACCTTCCACCGTGTCTTGCCTGATGCACACGCCTGTCTCCCTCTCTCAGTTGACCTCCCAAGTCCACTTCCCTGTGAAGCCATTGTCCACAGTGAGGGCCCCTCCCTTCTCCGCCCCCCAGGAGCCGCCGTGGCTGCTTCCTGCACCCATCACAGCACACAGACACAGCTCATCTGGTTGTGCACCCCCGGACTGTGAGCTCCTTAAAAACGGGGTCAGGGTCGTTTCCCCTCTGAATGCCCAAGAGCCGGGACCTCACTTAGATTCCTACATAGGACTTCAAGGATTTCATTCATTGAATGTATTTCCCAAGCATTTCCCCTGTTCCGGCCACTGTGCTGGGGCTGGAGATGGAGCAGGAGCAGGGTAGGTCCCGACTCTCAAGGGGCCCACGGTAGTAGGTGGGACAGAGAGCAGGTGGGATGGTGATCAGTATCTTGGCAGGGCGGCTCAGGGGGCTGGAGGGGCAACCAGTCCAGCTAGGGTGAGGACTGGGTGAGGACTGGGGGGGGGATAAGGTGGGAGTAGAGGCACCCCAAAGGGCCCTTGGCTGGACAACACAGAGGGAAATTGTGTGGCACCATGGGACTGAGAGGCTTGTTTGCTGGGTCTGAGGCTTGCTTGCTTCATTCATTCATTCATCCATCCATCCATTCCACACATCCCTTCTCTGCCTGGCCCTGAGTATTGGAAGTCCAGCAGTGACTAAGAGATACCAACCACCTTTCCCTTATGGAGGCTGGACTGGGGCCACCTCAGGCAGGACTTTGGTCATTCCTGGAACTGAGCCGTTCCTTGGGTGCTTCTTAGAGATAGGGACAGACTTCCTTCTGGGCTTCCCCCCCACACACCTGAGAGTGCGAGCGGGGCAGAGGGAGAGAGAGAATTCTAAGCAGTTTCCACACCCAGCACAGAGCCTGGCTCGGGGCTCGATCCCATGACCCTGAGATCACCACCCGAGCTGAAACTAAGAGTCAGACGCCCAACCAGCTGAGCCACCCAGGCGCCCCCTCTCTGGGCTTTTCTTAGGGATCTTGTGCCTGCCTTTCTGGAGGACTAGGCAGCAGGAGGAGGCTGAGGTTCTGGGGCTGCTGGCCCCAAGACAGGCTGGTTAGTTTCACCCGAGAATAGACCTAACACAATAGCTCAATTGTGAGAGGCCTGACTCCCCCCTGCAACATGGGAACTTTTCTGTGATCAGAATGTGTCTTACAATTGATGTACACATGTAACAGGACATTGTAACATTTTAACTGCCACCCCCACCCCAGGCTGTTACTAAATCAGTCCTATGGTTTACAGTCAATACGAGGGAATACGGTTTTGTTATTGAAACTACCCTTGGCATGAGATTCTGATGTGACCTATCTATCACCACAAACTCCCAGTTGCCCGTGGCTGAATAACCCTTCTATTTGGGGTATTTTATATAAATTCACAGAAAAGAATGCTATTCAATGAATTGATTCATTCTTGAGATTTCCCCAGTATGTCTGTCCAGGACAGCAGTGGGCTGGGGTAGGAGGAGTCCAGATCTGGGTTTGAATCCTTGCTTTTTGGCCCACTAGTGGAGGGACATTGGCAGAGGTGCTGCAACCTCTGAGCCTCAGTTTCCTCCTCTGTAAGATGGGGACAGCACCACCCATTTGGTGCCATGTGCCCCCTCTTTGCAGGTCTCTCACTCTTGTATGTTTGTGTGATTGTTAGATTCACCTTCTGCCCTCCTTCCACTGGGCCCTGGGCCCTACCAGCAGAGCCCCTCCACATCTAACTGGTGTCAGTTGAGACCATTTCGGGTGAAATGGGCTATGATTCAGAGAGGCCCAAAGCTGGATGTGCCTGCCTTGCGCAGGCTGCTGTTGTTTGTCCTAAGGTAGCTACCGGTTGCTGTCTCCCTGATGTCTTCTCAGCATTGCTTGAGTGTGCCCCAGTGCAGACGGTGGGGACCTGCACTCTGATTCTGCAGCCCGTGGAGTCTCCAAGTAGCGATGTAGGAAACACATGAATGGTATCTCAGACACATAGGCAAAGGTTTGACTGAGGTTCCGCCCCACTGAGCTGGTGCCAGAGTCCCACGGTGCTGTGTAGCTGTGCTGAAGCTCGTCTGTAGGAGGGGGTTGATAATGCCTGTTCTGTCTCAGAGAGAGGCTTCTATGACAAGCAAGTGATGCATCGAAGTCAGGTAAGCATGTGGTTTTCAGATGGCATGGTGTAAGCATTCTGTAGGACAGCAACCAGAACAGACTTGGCTGCCGGAGGACCCAGTGACAGGGTCAGCAAAAGAAAAGTCAGGATGCCTTGAACAGGGCAGTGGAGTGAGGTGGAAAAAGGCATAGACTTTGGAGCTAGGTTGACCAGGGTTCAATAATCACCAGCTGTGTGACCTTGGACAAGTTACTTAACCTGTCTGGGCCTTAGTTATCTCATCTGAAAAATGGGATGCTAAAACTAGAACCTACCTCCTAGGGTTGTGTTGAGGATGAAATGAGATAATCCATGTGCCTTAGTTAGCTGGTACTTAATAAATCGTTGTGGGATGAAGGGGTGGAGGGAGAAATGGCTTAGTTGCTCTGCCCATGAACTTAACAGCAATACTGTGCAGTCCCCTCCTGGGCCATGTGTTTCACACATTTTATCTGTTCTACCACAAGTGCCTTTGTTGAGTAGCAATTGATCTAATTTTTGTTCACCAGGCCTGTGAAGTCTGTCAGAGCCTTTGCTCAGACAGGGCTGCCCAGGGAGCACAGTGAGCCGCTGTGGTTCCAGCCTGAAGCTGGGAAACCTGAAGCTTCTGCGGCCCCAGAGGCGTGTGCTAGAGACGCACATATCTAATGTCAGCTTTCCCAAATGCTGTCCAGAGTTCAGGAAATCCACTGCAACCTCTGGACCCACAGGAGAGAAGCCACTGTCCTAAGCTAAGACGCACCAGCCTTGGCCTCCATGTGGTCAGAGGTGGTGATGGAGATGGAGTTTGGGGGAGGACTCCTTGTGTCTCCCTCTGTGACCCTAGGACAGGCCTGGCACTGGTCTTCCTGCGCACAGAGGTAGCTCAGTTTCCTCACCTACCCCTGACAGGGGCCCGACAGGCAGACAAGTAGTGCCCATATGGGTGGTAAGGTTGGTATCAGATATACGTACCCTCCCCTAGTGTGGACTTCAAGGACCTGGACATGCTGCAGTTTACTGCAGACATAAAGCCCCCCTCAGCTCCTTGGAAGACCCCCTCTGTGTGGGCGGCAGTAGTGGCCACGCTGGCTTGGCCTGGTGGGATTTTCTGGCAGCCCTCACAGGTTGTCCAGGATAAAGAGAGTCTGGGGCCCTGCTCTTCCTGGGTCTCTGCGACTCTGATGGTTATGGGTCCTGATACCTGGTGACTAACGTTTTCTGAGGGTTTGCCACACAGCAGACGCTGTGTGAAGGCCTTCTCGGGCATGATCCCATGTGCTCCTCCTAGAAAGCAATGGAGTGTGGCTCAGAGTGCTGGGTTCAAGTCCTGGTGCTGGCGCTTACTAACCCTGTGGCTTTGGGCACATCCCTGAACCTCCGCACCTCAGCTTCCTCTCGTAAAATGGGGATGAACACTAGTACCTGTGTTGTAGGGTGGCTGTGAGGGTCCCTGGAGCTGGTAAGTGCCTAGCTCAGGATCAGTGCCGTGTAAGTGTTAGTTGTTACTAAGAGATGGGCGGTAGCATTATCCCATTTTGAAGAAAAGGAAACAGGTTTCGAGAGGCTGCGTGCTCTGCCGGAGTCCCGTGGCTCCTGAGTAGAAGAGCTAGGATTTGAACCTAGCTCGTGAGCACTACCCTACTCTGCCTCAGTGTGGGAAAATACATGTGGGGAGCATTCGGCCAGCTTTGGAAGTGGCATTCTCGGCTTTCCTCAGAGCCCTGGTGAAAAGAGATCCTTTTCTAAGGAACTGAACTGGCCTCTGGGAGTTCTCGTAATCCCACAGCAGAAGCAATAGCTGACCCGTGACACACATATCACAGAAGGAGAAGGGAGGGATCAAGGAAGAATTTCTGTTTGGAAATGTTATCTAATGCTGAGTGCTTTCAAGGGACTCAGAATGTGGAGCCCACGCTGTACCCCCTGCCGGGGTGCCAGGGAAGCCTGGTCCTCCCCTCTTCCCCTGCCACATACAGCCTGCTGGAGACCTGGGCGGGATCAGGCATCTGTGGACATGCAGGGAAAGCCAGGGCAGCACTTTGTCCCGAGCCACAGTGACGGAAGTCTCTAGCTGGTGTGTCCCTTCCAGCTCTGGACCCCTTGGGTCCTCTGCTCCCCAGCTGAGGGGTGAGCAGCAGCTGCTTTTTGCTCCAGGGAACTTTCTGAACAGGGGCTCCCGGCTCTGGCAGGACAGTGTTTGCTTTTGCTTTTGCCTCGGCATAGTCTCTAGGCAGGGTGCATAGGAACCCAAAACTTAAAAATGACTTCCCATGTCCTTGGGCTACCCCGTCCCCCTAAGCACACACCTACACACAGGCACGCGCTCATGCACGCACCCCAGCTGCCAGGCCATGCCCGGGAGCTGCCTGCCTTCACCCCAAAGGCTCTTTGTCTGCGGCAGAGTAGGGCTTACAGATGAAGCTCTCAAAGCCCAGCCCGTGGTCTCATGCCCCCAGAACACCACCTTTGGCCCAGGTGTCCACAGGTCTGCCCCAGCAGATGCCTTGTTTCCTCCAAACGAAAGCAAGAGTGACCCCCTCTGGGGTCCAGCTGCACACACCCCCAGCTGGAGGGGTCAGGGTTCTGGAACCCGCAGACATGGGGCCAGCTACTGCCTCCTGCCCCCTTGTCCCTTGGTGCCACAGAGCTGGCCCCTTACCTCTTCACTCCTGCTGGACTCCCCGGGGCAGCTCCTCACATGCTTTACCCCAGCCGTCAGCAGGGCAGCCTGTCCATGGCCTCCAGGAGGGGTCCCCGAGTTGCAGGCCGGACTGGCCGCCAAGCAGCCCTGCCTCACTGGCCTCTGCTTGCTCTGCTGTGCTCCACAGCCGGGCTTGGGCCGGGGATGGGGCGGGGGCTGGCCTGGGGTCCGGCTGGGGCTGCTTACAACCTGCCTCCTTTCGCAGCAGGGGCCAGTGGCTGCCTCAGTGCCATGCTGTGCAGGTCCGGGGCTCGGGCACCACTGCTCAGGGCTCCAGGTCCATCCTCAGGCCGTCTGCACCAGCCTCATTTGAACTCCCCACTCCTTTGTGGAGCCTTTACATGCTGCCGGAGGAAACTGTGAGCACAGCCTGACCCTGGTTGGCTGCAGGCGCTTCTCTCCACCCACCAGTGCAAGAGGATCCCCCAGGCCCCAGAAAGGCTCCGGGCCTCCCCTCAGCCCCAGACAGAGGCGGGCCGCCCGGTGATGTCACACTAGCTCCGGCCCCAGCTGGCCCGGCCCCTCCCGCCCCAGCCCGCTTTGGCGGCCCTCGCCGGCCCCCTCCTTCCCTGGCACGAGCAGCCCGGCCAGCTCTACTCCGTGGCCCGGCCGCCCCTTAGTGCCTTCTGCCGAGGCAGAGAGCTTCTCCTCTGACTCAGGTAATGGGTTTAGGTCTGCTCTAGCTGCGCAGGCAGCAGGAAGCAGGTCCTCTCCCTGGATGGCGCCCTCATCTCTGCACTGCCTCACAGAGCCCCAGGTGCGCAGGCAGGGCAGCCCCGCACAGATGGCTTCTCCCCGTGGGTGCCCTTCATAGAGGCCTCTCTCACCTCGAAACCCTGGGGAGGGAGCCCAAGGCTGTGCACAGAAGCCAGCAGACTCTGTGCTGACAGCTAGCGGGACACAGTGGCCTAAGACACTGAAATACCACAGGCTGGGCGGGGGCTTGGAGGTGGTATGCACGGGAGAAATGCCGGTCACTTCCCACCTAGAGGCCTTGATTAAGTCACTTCCCAGTTCTAGCGTCCCTTTCACGCATCAGTAAATGAGCCAAGACTAGTGATCTGCCTAAATGGATTCCGTGGTATCACGCGGGAAAGGGCTTGGTGCCGGGCAAGGGTCCCTCAGTGGGCTGGACTCTGCACTCAGGTGGGCAGGCCAGGGACCACACTCCCGGAACCTCTGTGGTGATCTCCAGACCTTTGAGGAGCACATGATGAGAGGCCCCAGCACAGAGTCTGTCACTGAGGTGGGGCTCATGAATGTTCATGGAGTCAGAGCAGAAAGGAGAAGACAGCGCCGGAGCCCCACAAAGTGAGCAATCCTACAGATATGTCAGCGCCGCGGGCAGAGGAGGGAGGCCAGCGAGTCCTGGGAAGGGAGCAGCTGGGCGCGGGTTTGTGTCACTGCCTGGGCAACAGCTGTGTGAAATTCTGGTGGTGACTTCTTTCCTCTTTAACAAGGTTTAGTAATGATGGTGGTAGTGGTGATGACGTTCGGGTACAAATCGGGAGAGAAACTTCAGTGGGGTTCTCCTTACCCTCAGGCATAGCGTACCATATTGCTCGTCCCTGGGCAAGCAGGTCCAGTGTGGTCCTCTGCTCCTCAGGACGGCCACTCCTGTCTTTGCGGGGAGCAAACTTTGCCTCTTGCCTCAGCCCCTCCCAGCCTGCTCAGACACGCTCCCTTTTCCATCTGTCAGTCCCATTCCTTTGTAGAAGGCGAGTCTTCACCAGAAGACCACAGTAGCTTACAGCCAAATGGTCGGGTTGGACAGATATACTCCCCACAACTACCGTGGGGGTGAAGGTGGCCAGCCACTCTGGAGGGTCCCTGTGCATGGTCTGCACAGAAGCCATGGGAGCTGGGGACTCAAGACCAGCAGAAGCACATAGGATGGAGCTGAATCCTTCTCGAGCAGCACCCTCGTCAGCCTGGAGGTTGGCATATTTCCTTCTTTTCCCCTTCCTCTCTCTTGTGTCTCCTCCAGGATGTTTGTTGGGAACCTGCTCTGAGCTGACACCAAGAAGCCAAAGTTGCTCTCCTCACAGAGCTTGCAGTCAGGAGGGGAGACAGACAGACAAACGCATGAGAAGTGCTGGGTACTAAGCAGGTATCTAAGCGGGAGGCTGGATTAAGCCTGGCAGTCAGGGCAGGCTCCCTGAGCTTGTGGTGTTGCAGCTGAAACCCGAAGGATAGGTCAGAATGAGCAGGTGTGAGTTGGAGAGACGATGGTCTGGATAGAAACAATAGTGTGTAAGGGCCGTGTGGCAGATTGCTTTTTTGAGGATGGCCCCAGTGATATCGCCTAGTCCAACACGAGACCTTGACACTCCTCGCATTGAGAGGTAGGGTCTCTGTCCCCTCCCGTTGAATCTGGGTGGGTTTGTGACTTACTTATAACCAGTGGAATACAGTGGAGACGACACTACCTGATATCCGAGGCTGGGTGAGAACAGGCAGGGCAGTTTCTGCCTTGTTCACTGGGAAACTCCCTTTAGGAGTCCTGAGACGGTCTAGACCCTGAGAAGTCCAGCTACCTGCAAGCTGCCATGCAGAGGCCAGGTGTAGCACAGGTCCCAGCTGACAGCAAGCATCCACCCCCAGATGTGTGAAAGATGCCTCTCAATGATTCCAGCCCCTAGCCAAGAGTCAGCTCCAGCTGCTGAGGTCCCAGGTATTGGGAGCAGAGATGAGCCACTGTACCATTCCGTAGCTGAATCCTTGACCCACAGAATCCACGAGGATAAGAAAATGGTTGTTTGGGCTGCTAAGTTTCGACGGTAATTTGTTACTCAGCAATAATAACTGGAGCGATTATAGGGAGTTCTTCCCAGGAGTGCATTTGTCTGAGGAGAGATGGGGAGCATGGCGGAAGACGAGGCCTTTTCAGTGGTGGGACTTGATCCAAGGACAGTGGGAAGCCACTGGAAGGTTTTGAGCAACTTGCTTTTATTTCCGAAAGGCCACATTAGTTGTTGAGTAGAGACTGAGTGGCGGGAACCATAGACAAGTCATCTGGAGCTGGTGGGCGATGGTTGCAGCCATCCTGGTGAGAGAGGCAAGTGGACGCAATGGGGCTCACTGGGTCGGGGGGACTTTCCAGGACCCATCCTCCCCTGGGAACAGGTGCAGCCCAAGTCCCTGATTACTAGAGCAAATTTGCTCCCACAAAGCAAAGTTCCTAGGATCCCATCAAGTGGGAGAGGAACACCAGGATGGCCTTGCCCTGTCCATGTTTGCACATCCCTCGCCCCTGAGGTGGCCTTGGGCAGTCAAGGATGCTGCTGGAGAGCTTGAGCTGTGCACTCAAATTCTGGTTCCGCCACTCAGTAGCTCTAAGCCTCACTGTCCTCATCTGTAAAATGGAAATGTTACAAGGACTTACCTCATAGGGCTGTTGAGAAAAATAAATAAGATGTGACACATTAAGCGTAATGTGCACTGGCTAGTACACGGTACAGACTCAGTGTTGGCCTCCTTCCTTGGGCTGTGAGTTCCCGGAGCACTGGAGCAGGTGTGTGGGTGTGGGCCACACAGAGCTCTCCTTCTGTGCAGCCCGGTCCAGAGGAGTGAATAATTGAGTGACTGGCAGGGGAGGATGAGTGGCTCAGAGTCTGACAGACCTGGGCTCAGATCCCAGCTCTGTCACTAACCTGGGCAACGTTCTTATTCTCTCGCAAACTTTGTTTTCTCATTAAAAAAATTTTTTTTAAAAAACGATACTACTCACTCCTCAGGGTGTGAGAGGACTGAGTGATAGGATGCACCTAAAGCACAATGCCAGGCATTAAGCACTCAGTGGTTGCTCAGGAAACGGGGCTGTTGTTCTTCCCTGCTCCCAAACACCTCTCCACTCTTGCTCATCAGGCTCCCAACTTCAGCTTGGAGTCCCTGTGACCTCCTTGAGGAACACCATTCCCACATTTCCAGCTGCCTGTTGGACCAAAGTGTCATGTGACTAAAGCACATGAGGAGAAGGGACTCTCCCTTTCTTTTTTTACATTTTTTGGTCAGGATGTTTTTCATTCTGTGTGAGGTTTACGTGGTGGCAGAATACAAAGGATCTTAATTACGTCCCACAATTTGTTTTAATGATTTCATGTGCTTTCATATCTTATCACCTTTCTGACAGTTACAATTTTTTTTTTTTTCTGTTGGGAATGTTGGGCTGTTCTACTGAGGTACTGTATGTGGTGGAAGTGTGTGGGCAGTGTGTTATAAAAAGGGGTGCCTGGGAGGGGACTTCCCTGTGTCTTGCAAACTCAGCATCTCATGTGCATTTCAAGCCTCACAGATTCCAAATTGATGGTTTTCTTCCCTTCAGCAGTTTTTAAATGCCTTTCCATTGTCTTCTGGCCTACATTGTTTCTGATGTGAAGTCAGCTCCCTTCCTCATTACTGCTCCTGTGTACATAGTCAGTCTCTTCCCCTCTGATGTCTTTTAAGATTTCTCTTTATCTTTGTTTTTTAGCAGTTTGACTGTGGTGTGAATAGGTGTGTTTCTTTGCATCGATTCTGTGTGGAATTCACTGAGCTTCTTGGATTTTTGAGTTGATATGTCTCGCTAAATTTGGGATTGTGTGAGGCAATTTGAGGCCATTATTTCTTCTAATATTTCGTCAGTACAATTCTCTCTTCCCTCCCCTTCTGGAACTCCATTTACACACTTGGTATTGTTCCACAGTCACTGAAGCTCCCTCCCTCTTTTCCTTCCTTTTCCTTTTCCTTTTCCTTTTCCTTTTTGTGCTTCAGTTGGATCATTTCTATTACTTGTCTTCAAGTTTGCTGACCTTTTCTTCTATAGTATCTAATCTGTTAATTTCATCCTAAGTATGTTTTATGTCAGGTACTGTATTTATTGGGTCTAAAATTTCCACCAGGTTTATTTTTATAGGACCCATTTCTCTTCTGAAATTTTCTATCTGCTCGTTCATTCTATTTTTCATTTCCTGAAAATCCTGTGCATATATTATAATAGCCATTTTAAAGTTCTTTTTTTTTTAAGATTTTATTTATTTATTTGACAGAGAGAGACACACAGCGAGAGAGGGAACACAAGCAGGGGGAGTGGGAGAGGGAGAAGCAGGCTTCCTGCCGAGCAGGGAGCCCGATGCGGGGCTTGATCCCAGGACCCTGGGATCATGACCTGAGCCGAAGGCAGACGCTTAACGACTGAGCCACCCAGGCACCCCACCATTTTAAAGTTCTTATTTACTAATTCCAACATCTGGCTCATCAGTGGATCTGGTTTTCTTGACTATTATTTTTTTTGAGCATGGGTCACATTTTCCTGCTTCACATGTCTATTATTTTTAAATTGTATACTGGACATTTTGTATGATACATTGAAAAGACTGTATTTTATTGCCTTCCTCTAAAGAATGTTGTGTTTTGTTCTGGCAGGTGGTTAAATTACTGGCATACCCCCTTGATCTTGTGGAGGTTTGGTTTTTAGGTTTTG